ATAGTTTAAAAAAAAAAAACTCTGAACAAATTCCTGTGCACACTGCACATATCTTATTTTGAAGTTAAAAAACAAACGGGGCAAAAACACCCAGCAGGCCAGATAAATGTCCTTGGCAGGCCGCATGTGGCCCGTGGGCCGTAGTTTGAGGACGCCTGCTTTAGAAGATGCTCAAAACTATGCAGCTGCCATTTTGCTCTCAATCTCAAGGCAACACATTTCCATATGTTCTAGGACAGCTGGAGTCAGATTTCTGTTATTTGTAGCTGAAAGCCTTCTAACTAGTTAACAACTCACAATGTTTGTGTCTCCCTGGAATAAACTCTTCATCCTTTCCTCTAGGAAAAAATCCTCAATATACCAAAAACCTGCCACAGAGCAAGCACCCTGTGCCTACATCCATCTCACTCAACTCACTCAGTGCCATCGGGTGGCCTCTGACTCTAGCGACTACAGCACAAGAGAAAACTAACCCCATGAGTCTCCAAGACTGTATTTCTTTCCCTGTGTAGAAAGCCCTGTCAGCTCCTGTGGAGGAGTTGGGGGTTTTGAACTGGGGATCGCAGGCCAGCATGTAATCACTCTGCCACCAAGGGTCCCCAAGGGTATTACTTAAGTTTACTAAAAGACTATGCAGTGATGTTTTGCCAATTGAAGTGTAAGTTCATTGGAAGCAGTGACTAGCTAATTTAAGGTTATTTTCCTGCGTCTAGCATAAATAAGAGTACAAAAAAATTCAGAACTAAATGAATGAGGAGGATAAATGCCAATTTCAAAAAACTTCCTTTACTTTTGCAACCATGCAAAGTAAGAAATTGCCAAAAGGAAAAGGGGCTAAAGCCTTAATTCTCTTTTTTAGGGCTTTAAAACATATTTTTTTAATTTGGTAGCTTTGGCTACATTACAGAAAAGATGATTAATTCAGAATCATGTCCAAATAATTTTGGATTATTATGCTGCCTATGAACTGCTTTAAAGCTTCATTGTTCATGGTATATCAAAGTATGTGAGTGCTGATGATAAACTACAGCCCAGGTGCCATAGGCACTCTAATTAGGAAGGCATGGTGACAGTCTCCAAAGGCTCCTCAGAGTCCAGAAACAGATGCTACTTGTTTCTGCTGTCCCTCATCCCAAATCAGAATGCATGCTGAATGTCAGAAATGAGTTTTTTTATCAGTAAAAAGAATGGCCTGCTCCCACTACCATGACTCGAATTCTATCTTGCAAGACTGGCTAGACCAGAGGAGGTACACTGGTACAGACAGGAACTGAAAATAAAGGGAATCCAGGACGGATGAGCCCTATAGGACCAGTGGTGTGAGTGGCAAAACAGGGAGGGTAAAGGGAGAATGGGTAGGAAAGAGGGAACTGATTACATGGAACTGTGTGTGACCTCCTCCCTGGGGGACAGACAACCGAAAAGTGGATGAAGAGAGACGTCGGACAGGGCAAGATATGACAAAATACCCATTTATAAACTATCAAGGGCACATGAGGGAGGGGGGAGCGGGGAGGGAGGGGAAAAATGAGGACCTGATGTCGGGGGGGTTTAAATGGAGAGAAAATGTTTTGAGAATGATGTACAAATGCGCTTTACACAATTGATGTGTGTATGGATTGGGATAACAGTTGTATGAGCCCCTAATAAAATGTTAAAAAAAAAAGAAAGAAAGAAAAGAATGGCCTGTTCATAGCACAATGAGTATGACGCAGAAGGTATAAATGAAAATGCCACCATTAATCATTATTAGAGATATTCTATATTCTATTAGTTGATGAAAAGGGGGGAAAAAGTCTAGAAGTCTCCTGAACTCTCTAGAGTTAAGGGCTCAAGATTGGCTTCCTTATAAACTTCAATTCAAAGGAATTTCTCCCCTTCTCTCATAAAGACTTAAAGGGTAACAAGCTTCTGTAACTGGAATGTTTGTGTCTCCCTGGAGTAAACGCCTCATGCAATGCATAATGGTTGAAAAACCCAAGAGAACAGACACTGACATCATCAGGCTCATGCACCAGGTTGTATCTACGGTTTTATACAGTAGAACTTGGGTAAGATATATGCTTTCAAATAACCATAGGGTTGTAGAGAAATACCTCTAGGTTTACCACTATCTTAAATAAAAATTTTAAAAGCCCTAAAATCATGGAAATGACTAAACTGAGTCATCTTGGTTTGCACTGATCCCAGAGCAAACACACCATTGGGAAATACACATGGAAAAAAAAAGCTAATTGGCAGTAGTTGTAAACAAGTACAAACCCCTTTATAGACCACAGAAAAGCCCAATACAGAGCAGCTCCACAGCCCGGCCTCGCCAGGGCTCCTCCTACTGTAGATGTACTCTGTATTTTCTTCCCTATCAGCTGTTTTACTGGGGGTGGGGAGCTGAGAAATAACATCTAGTCCGTTCAACTCAGAGCAACCCTACTGGACAGAGTAGAAACCCGTTCCATAGGGTGTCCAAGGCTGTAAATCTTGATGGGAGCAGACAGCCTCACTGTTCTCTCACAAAATGGCTCACACCAAAACCAAACTCACTGCCATCGGGTCAATGCTGACTCTAGTGAGTGACACCTGTGCGTTCCAAGATTGAAACTGTTTACAGATATAGAAAAGTCTTTCCACAGAACTGCTGGGGGGTTTGAACTACTGACCATGCAGATCACAGACCACAGAGTAGTGGTTCTCAACCTTCCTAATGTCACGACCCTTTAATACAGTTCCTCATGTTATGGTGACCCCGTATGTGGGTGTATCTGCATGTGGGTGGACCTGCCTGGAGACGAACAGGTGTCTCAGTTCCTAAGACCATCAGAAATGTGGTCTTAGGCGACCCCTGTGAAAGAGTTGTTCGACCCCCAAGTTGAGAATGGCTGCCGCAGAGTGACTAGTGGGTTGGAAGGGTTGATCTTGTGATTAGCAGCTCATTATGTAGCCCACTACTCCACAGGGGCTTCTCTCATAGGGTATCTGGATCTAAAAGCATTAAAAAAAAAAAAGAATAAGTCTAAGGCGCCCAAATCCACGCTTGCTGAGTATTATCAAAGGCAATGGTTGAGTGAGATGGTAGTACCCAAGAAACAAACTCAGATCTAGATCTTTCCCTGCTATTGCTCAATTGTATGCCTTTGGAAAGGCCACTCATTTTTTTACCCAATATTCTTGATCAGTTCCCATAAAAAGTATAGGACATATTACTAGTTTGGAATTCACATTAGTCACTAACAGTAGGAGATCATGACACTTCTTATAAACCATTAAATGCTAATAAATTTAAGTGGTCTACAAACAGCCTGGGCAGAACATATGATTGTAGTCTTTGAATTTTAAAATGCATTACTTGAAATATTACATATTTTTCTTCTCAATTTCTATTATTCTTTGATATTACTACATTCCGATGTATAACTTTAAATCATTAAATTAACAGCTGGTTACCAGGTTAAAAGGAGCCCATGTGGCACTGTGGGTTAAAGATTTGGGCTGCTAAGAAGCTCAACAGTTCAAACCCACCAGCTACTTTGAGGGAGAAAGAGGAAGCTGCCTGCCACTCTCAAGGATTTACATCCTCAAAACCTATCAAATAGTTCTCTGTCCTAATAGGGTTGCTATTAATCTAAATGACTTTTGGTAGTAAGGGTTTTTTTTCCTTTTTTCTTGAATCAGCTAAAAGATTATTTTATACCTTAATCCCTTCGTAAACTGGAAAAAGCTGAACGTCCTATTATTTTGGGATATGACTATTAAAAATTGCAGGAGCACATATAATGTGCATAGCACACGTAGAAAACTAATACTTCAGGGTTGTGATGGCTCTTTTGTGTACAAGTGGGGAAGTTCACTATCGGGTCAGAAAACCTTGGTTCGGACCAGTATTCTGTGGACATCAGACTAGTAAAATATAAGGAGACTTAGAAAAATTCATGGACAGTCTTAGTATCTTTCTCCATCCCCCTATTTTTCCAATATCTTTTTATTCAATTTGTCCATTAACTTTTTGAAGCCTGCAAGTAGAGATCTCAAAAGTTCTTCCAGTCTTGAGACACATGTGTATACAGTATGTTCTACATGAAAATCTGGAATACATAATGCTGTGGTTTAATGAAGGAGTCCTGGTAACACAGGGATTGAAGTGCTTGGCTGCTAAAGGGATCAAAAGGTTGGCAGTTTGAACCCATCAACTCTCTGGGGTAGGAAAATGTGGCATCAGGTTCCCATAAAGACTTATGGCCCTGGGAACCCATGGGGCAGCTCCCCACTTAATGGCGGTGAGCATACTTTAAGCTCACAAAGTGCTAAGAATTGTTAAGCTAAACACTACCTGACAATTGTTCTCTTTGGGGGTAAATGCATAGCAGGCAGAAGAAAAGGGAGGAGAGAGAAAGGTTTCAATAGAGTATTTTCTTCGTATATGCCTGGTGACATAGTGGGTTAGACATTGAGCTATTAACTTCAAGGTTCCCAGTTTGAAACTATTAGTTCTTCTGCAGGAGAAAGATGAGGCTTTTTAATCCATAAAGCTTTACAGTCTCAGAAACCTACGGGGAAGTCCTACCCTGTCCTGTAAAGTTGCTATGAGTCAGAAGCAACTCAATGACAGTGGATATTGGCCTATTAAGCAAGACTAATCTGATTTCTGGGGCAAACAAGTTAAAAAAGTTATATATAACCTCACTGTAGAATAGCTTTTCTATAATACATGTATTCCAGGTATCAAAGCTATCTGAATTTCAGAAACTATTATATACTTAAGAAGGTAACGAGCTTTAGACAGTGCTTAAAGCAGAATACCAAAAATAAACAACAAAAAAAGGCAGAATACAAAAGCCCTAGACATGATCAAACAGTGTAAATGGGGCTAAGTACAGCCATTCAAATCATCTGTTCCCTAAATGATTATACGTATGCATTTGTGTGTATTTCACTGTCAAAATAAGTTTATAATGTGCAATGAATTAACAGTTCTACTTTGAAAATGCCAATTTCATCATACTTACTAAAGTGTATCTGGAGGACCAATAATAAGGACTTCCCATCGATAAAGATCATTGTCATCTATTAAACCTGCTGAAAAGCCTTCCACTGGATTTTTGTTGAGTTCTGTGGAAAAGAAAAAGAAAATTTTAATTCATCAAAATTTTAAAGATGTAACTTCAAAACAGATTAACTACAGAACATAAAAATACATGTTGTAAATTCGAAAGCATTAAATGGCTATATATACCTGGGAGGCAAATGCTACCTGAGGGCCAAAACATTCCTATTTCTACCACACGAGGAAGTCACAGACAAAATAAACTATGCAAAAGCTCCATCTCCACTGCCCTCTTGCTTCTGTCCTGGTTTCCAGCCAGGTTCTGCCATTCTGGGTAGTTCCATCTTGTTGTTCACATTTCGATAAAATGCAGCCCATTTCCAGGCCCATCCCCCAAAGTTCTGATTCAGAAATGGTAAGAGGGAAGCAGAAATCAAACCAGTAATTCTAGTCATTCTTAGGCTGTAGAGGATACTTTAAGAAACACCAACAGAGTATCTAATAATACCTGCTCATTGGAATCTGCTGAGCTGGCCCAACTTTCTTTCATACTAATATCTGCTAGTATACCACATATTTTTGACACATCCACTATAATCGTAAGGATATATGTCTACAGTTGGTGCTCGTGTATGTCCCATTCAGCTCTGGGGACAGAGAAAGCAGTGGGAGGCCCCTTCCATCCTGTGTATGTGTGTTGACCGCTCACTGCTCTACAGACCAGATTCCAACCCACCAAGAGGAGTGGCTTCCTAACAACAGTTGGTGCCTACAGGAATGGCAGTGGCATCTGGTGCATATGGAAGGTGACTGGGGTGGGGGATAAGACCACAGGCAAGAGTTACCAATGACAGTGAAGTAGAGGGACAGAAGCCAAACAAAATCCTTGAGGAACAGGTGTGCAGAGCTTGACAGTTCCCAGAATGAGACACAGTGACTAATATAGTAATGACTTACTGATGGGAGACAGGTCATGTGAGAATTTTAAACTGCTTCATTAAAGTGTAACTGACATTCCATGAACTGTATATATTTAAACTTACAACTAGTATGTATTGATACATATATATGTGTGAAACCATCATTGCAGTCATGATAATGAAACCAGTATCCATCATCAACAAAATTATCAACTGATATGCCTACCAGGGGGACTACAAACTAATTGACTCCAAATGGTAAATGAAAACAAAATATGTATGAAAGGATTTTCGAAATGTTTGTGGGATAATTCCACCATCTTTCTATTTTATTTTTCCACGAACTTTTAGAATCATTCTCTTACCAGTGGGGAGGGCTGTTCAAAATGGACTGGCTGGGTTTCCATTCTAGTATAATACATGCTATCATCCTCAAGGAGTTTAAGTTAATGATGAAAGTTAAGTGTAATACAACTCCAAGAGCTGTGTGCTCGTTTTGGCAGCACATATACTAAAATTGGAACAACTCCAAGAGCTGCAAAAGACTGGTAACTGAGAAGATGATAGTTTTTTTTTAAGACATTGAGGTGATGTTATTTCAACAACTGAGACTTAATACTTCAACATGCCTGTGAGACATAAAGATGTCAACAGTGAAAATTAACATGTGAATGGCTTCACAAACTTAATATTTTACAAAAATCTAGTATTTTTGCCTAGTAAGCAAAGCAAGCTCCTATAAATAACTTGTTTTCAATCATCAGCTTGTCTTATATTTACTAAGTGCAAATACAATGAAATACAAGAAATGCATTTTTTTACTTTTAAGTAGCCATTCTAACAATAAAAATATTGAAAACTGATATTAAGATAGGAATTACATTTTAATCATATTTCATTTACGAGGGTGTACCCACCCCCTATGTATTTAAAACATTTTTACAAAATAATCTTATCACCTTCAAAATATTCTCCGTGACAATCTATTTGTCAAATCTGCAATTCCATTCTTGGAAACATTTTTCAAACTCGTGTTTGGATGGCTGAAAGCACCTCCCTCATTTTTTCTTCACCTCTTCCTAAGTTGTCAAATCGCTGTCCCTTCGTGTCCCTCTTTCATCACGGAAAAGAAGTAGCAGGGATCAAGATCAGGTGAGTAAGGTGCATGGGGCAAGAGGCATGCTGTTTTTTGACAAAAACTGGCCCACCGAGATGGCTGTGTGAACAGGTGCATTGTGGTGGTGGCAAAACCAGTCCTCCCCCTCCCCACCGCCACAATCAGGCCTTTTTTGTCACACACTGTTATGCAATCTTTTCAAAACTTCTAATAGAAAGCTTTATTAACAGTCTGACCTGGTGGAACAAACGCCCAATGTACTATCCACCTCATCACATCCATTGTTTTGGGGTATACCCTCATATACTTGCAAATGTTCAGATACAGTGGACACAATGAAAAGAGTTGAATCAAAAACAAGCCCGATTTTTACAATCAGTTGAAGGAAGAGATAAACAGGTATCACAATATGGATGGTTGTTTTCTTTCCCTTTTGGGGGAGGGTTATTTTCTATACAAAGTTATCGTATTTTCAAACAATTTTTATACGAACACTATTATATTACATATACCATTTCCTTATGGTACTCTAACAAAAAAGTCTCGTGTACCGTTCTTGTCTAGAAATCACCTAGCTGCATTTACATCCAGTGGAGTTATGGGGTCCATTGTTATTTGTGGTGAACAGATTAAATTAAGCACAATGTGCTAAAACAATTGGAGGGGAAGCACAAAAGAACGGCACATGATTTGGATGGGGTGGTGGTGGCAAGGTTTAAACAGAGACGCGTGTATGAAAATCTGAAATATGGATTACATTATTGGATCAAAACAAAGGATGGGTAACTTAAACTAAAGAGAATATCCAGAGCTGGATGTCAGCCAAATGTACGTGTTAGTATATGGTATTTGGCAACCTTCTTTAAAAACCATAAAAGAAGCACTTCCAGATACACTGTACATCTTTAACACAATACAGTAATAATAAAGACTTAATGTGTGTTGCTGCTATAGTAATGAACCTTTGAATGGCAATGTTTTTAATGCCCACAGAGCAGCCAACTATTGGGGGAGCCAAAGGCTGAATCCGTGAAGTCAGGGCCCTTTCTAAGTCCTTAGCGTGGCAGGACGAGGTATAGGCTGGTGGCAGATACCCCAGGGAAAGACACAGAATGGGAAGGAAGGGAAGGGCGGGAAGAAGAGGAGCGGAGAGAGAAAAGGTGAAAGGTGCAGGATATTGGTTGGCTGGTAGGACAGTCATGGGGGTGGGGGTGGGGTGCGGGTAGCCTGCAGTTGAGGACTTGAGGGGACTGAATTGGAGAAGTGGTGGAGGAGGAGCGGAGAAGTGGCTGTGAGTGATTGATTGGCCAATGAGTGGAACTATGATAAACAAGGCAATGACACCTCACCATCCTCCCTAGAGCATCAGACAGCTAGCTGAAGGCTTGCTTTAAGGGCTGGTTCCTTGTAACAGGGGTACTAAGGTAAATCATACCTTTGCAACCCCCAATGACTGTAAATTTAAATCCCCAAGTCCATCCACAATTTAAATCCGCTGATAACTGATATCAAATCCAACAAGCTAGCTGATCATCCTTACAGGAAGTTAGTAAACCAGTTCACTATGATGACAACCAGCAATAACAAAAACAAAAATTAATCGAGATTTATCCTTCCCTTTCTTTAGAAACTGCATCATAAAGTAAATGAATGGCGGTTTCCAATCATTTTTTTTCTTTAAAAATACTCTGGCTAAAAAATGAAGGGAAATTGAAATCATGTCTCCTGGAAAATAAAAAGCACCACTTAACAAGTGATCTCTCCTCCCTCACATAAACCAGAACCTGATCAAGCCTCTAGGAACAAATGCAAAGTACAGGAAATACAGACAACAGAGGAACCTGTTGAAGGGGTCCTCTAGGATGCAATTAGCAAACACTGCATATTGACACTGGAAAATTCTGACAGCTTGGGAATCAGCAAAATACACTATAAGGAAACAAAGGAAGAGGATTTAATTCAAATTTTTTTAAAAAGTAATGACATTTATGACAACTGGAAATTTTGATGATTATAAATTGTTAGCCTTTTAAAGTGTGCTAATGTTATTATTTTTTTAGTACACAACTCCTAAAATATTTTCAGACAAGCAATGGTATTTAGGATATGCTTCAAAGTCATGGTCAAAGAGGCAACAAGACTGTCAATGACTTAATGAATGACTGTTGAGGATAGGTGAGCATCTGTACGCTCTAGTAATATCATATGCCTGAAACGTTTCCCAGTTTAAAAAAACCAGACTGGTTCTTTTGTTGTTGGCCTTGAGTCACTTCCAATCACAACAACTACCTGTGCAGGCAAGGCAGAACTGCTCCGTAGGATTTTTAAAGCTGTGTGTTATTTCAGAAGCACATCACCAGGCCTCTTTCTCTTTCACAGTGCTTCTAGAGAGCAAACTTTAAATTTTTTTTATGTTTTTAATCATTTTTGAGGGGCTCATATAGCTCTTATCACAATCCATACATACATCTATTGTGTCAAGCACATTCGTACATTTGTTGCCATCATTGTTCTCAAAATATCCCCCCCCTCCCCGCATATTTGAGCCCTTGGTATCAACTCCTCATTTTTTCCCTCCCTCCCTTATGAACCCTTGATAACTTATAAATTATTATTCTTTTTCATGTCTTACAATGACTGATGTCTCCCCCTTCAACCACTTTTCTGTTGTCCGTCCCACTGGGAGAGGGTTATATATAGATCACTGTAATGGTTCCCCCATTTTCCCCCCACCTTCCCCTTACCTTTCTGGTTAACAAACTTTTCAAGTGGGGCACTTAACCCATTTGTACCACTCAGGAATGCCAGGATCAATTTTGTGCACTTTAAAATAATATTTTTACAGTATTCTGTAGATCATTACATGAACATAAACCTTCCCTGGGTGTCAGCAAAACATAGAAGGTCTCAAAATAGCAACAAAGTACCATATTACATTTTATACTTGAAACTTAGGGAAATAAGCTCTTTAATTGTAAACACACTTTGCCACAACAAATCATTGACTAAATCTACAATCAGATACAAACTG